TTTTTGTTGTTATTGTGAATGGCATCTGTCTACTTGCTCTTAATATTCGGGTAAAAACTTTGAGGGAAAACTATATCTGCAACTATAAACACCAACTAAAAAGACCCTAAAAAATAAGCTAAGACTAAATAAATGAAATAATTATCAAGCTTATTTATGTGACAATTTTTGAAATAAACGTAAACTAGAAATGAGAAAATTTGACAGTAATTCCTTTAGAATAACAGGTAACACTAATTTTAAAAAGAAATTAACTAGCTTTGTATCGAAATCTGTCTGGGGAAATCCAGCTATGAAAGTCAACTGAAATTCTCCGACACACAGCCGGCGCTGAAGCTGTTGTTTTTCGACTGTTCCCTGAACGACTGTTATGAATGAACACTGAGGAACAAAATAATACACACAGAAGTTATTTTTTGAAAAATTTATTTGAAAACCCAAATGTTTCTGTACTCAAATGAAATTCGCTTATTCCAGCGTTATGTGCCCGTTTAAACTCAACTAAAATTGTTAATCGATGCGATGAAAACTTCACAACAAAGCTGTCTCGAATTTGAGCGTGTTTCAAATATTTGCTTGAATTTAGCATCAGCTTGACCAAAAAGTCAATAACACAATGGTAATTGATAAATTTACATTTCAAACAGACTTTCTCCTCTATAAAAAAACACACAAAATGTACCTTAAATCTTCGCTCGCTCGATTTTCCTCCAGCCGATTCTAGCCGCGAGGAAAACAGTGATTAATTCATCCAGGGCAAATTTGTCGCTTGATCTTGTGTCTTTTTTCCTTCAAAACGACAGCTTAGTATTTTCTTCACCTTCCACTTTTCATCTGTGCATTTCATCGGTGTATTTTGCCGTCAGGAGAGGAGATTTGTTGAATTTGCCTAAATTTTACTGCGCTAGCTCAGTTTCTTAGCGTGCACCCACGGGCAAATGGTAGTGGCTAACTGACCAATCAGAGCGAGCGATTTAATTTTGTTATGTTATAAAGTATTTTTAATATTAAAGGTATCTTTTTAAAAGAATCCTGCTGAAAGTTGAAATAAGAATAAATTTGTGACCTTAAGAGAGAAACCAATTCCCGTAGCTATGAGCTGGTCTTTATTTTGATTAAGGAGACTACTTTTTTCTTCTCATCTGTTCTCGTAACATCGTTTATCGGTCTTGTAGAGAATAATACCAATTTAAGCACTAAAGCACACGTACCAACTCCGAGATTTTCCGCGGTATGGCCATTACCTTACACATGCGCAGAACCATACCCTGGCAGTGGCAGCCGCATGGACGGCTGTTTCGCTCT